TCCGTTTCTTATATTAAGACTGTTTACCATTTCCAGCAATGCGCCTTGTGCGCAGGAATGGTTTCACCTAGGTAGGGACGATGCTTGCGCTTGCGCAGGCCTCCGCCCTCAGTTAGCTTTTTGGTTGGTTGGTTGGTTGCCTCTGACGTCAGTTCGCCTAGCAGTGGTATGGTAATCTCCGATACATTGCAGTGGAGAGCGTGGGCCAGGCGCTGAGAAGGCAACGAAAGACTAATTTTCAAGGAGCTAGAAGCTTCTCTCTGCGCAGAACAAGCCAAGTTTGCGAGCTAGAGAAATGTGCAAATAAACCTTTAATTCGATGTTCGTGGTGCAAATTGAAAAAATGCTTCAAAATTCTGTTGTTGCTTCACATTTCTGTCACATTTATAGTGCATAATTTTGTACATTATTTTTTCGTACGCATTCTGCGAGCTCTGCTTGATACCCAATATAAAATGTACTAGAGAAACACCCGTAAAAATGACGGGAAAATGTAAGTAGTGCTTAAAATGGATTATTATTGAAGTCTAACAAAGCAGCATATAAAATTTAAAATCATTATCTATCTGCTTAATTAAGTAATTCAGTACGATTTAATGCAGTGAAAAGATGTTTTCCTGCGTTGTGTATTAATTGGTACATGTACATAGTAGGCCATGGAAGGTTCCTATGTACGTACTTATTCAATAAACTACGCGTGTGTGAGATTTCCTAAGTCTTTCACTGCCCTCTCATCGCCTGGCCCACGCACACCATTGCAATGTACCGGTGAATACTGCGCTGCTGTCACGCGCGTGCGCGGTGGCGCAATTTTTAAATGTACATTCGAATTTTGAGCAATTTTTTCGCACCCTTGCATAGCGTATCAGCAGCTGAAATTTTGTGGACAATCATTACTAGATGGGCTCTGTAGACGAGAAAAATTTCAGGTGAGGTTTCGACATGACTAACCAGTCCATTCCCTTGTTAGTATCATATTTGTGTTTCATGAAACATTTTATCTTCTCCCCACTTAATTTTACATCCAGAGTTAAAATCAAATGAAAGCTGATAAAAAGCACGCACATATTATTCATAGTAAAATCAACAGTTATAAAGAAACTTACAACTCTGTCTCACTTGCTTTTCAAGAGAAATTCTTTCTACTGATATAAACGTAGCACAAATTTTACAGACATACCATTCTAAATCTCAACATAACACTTTTGTTCAGTACATTATATTTTTATCCACAAGTCATGTTTAAGGAGTTTTCTAACATCTGCATTGACTGTTGATTTACTGTGTACATATAACAGTGTGGGAGTTTCTCAGTTACTGTGTTTTGTTGTAACCTTACATTCCTTGAGTTTGGTGTGGTTTTTGTATCTATTATCCATACCACATTGTTAAAAATGTGCAGATATCTTTGTCTTGTAAGCTACTTGCTGATTCACAAAAAAAAAAAAAGGTGGTGATTTTTCTTCTTTGACATAACCTGACTCCCACACAGCATCCCATGCAATGAGTACTTCATTTACAAATAATTTTCTGTCCCATGAGCAGAATATAGTAATTCTAACATCACATTGTTGCGATGTTCGTGGTTCACATCATAACCCAGAGTCCAGTTATCATGATAAGGGGAGGGCACTGTCTGCAGTCCATTCAGACAGGTGTCAGGATAGTGCCATCAGATTATGCCATGACTGCACTTTCTTCCATATTCTTTCAAATTTATTGTTAATAATCATCCTGTCATTTGACATTATGTAGTCTGTGCTAGTAATCAGCATCATTAAATAAACCATAATTGTGATTAATTAATGGATGTGTGTTTTTGAAATTTGTGTGTAAGGTGGAATGTTTTTGTAGGAGTGGATGTCTAGTTATGTGTGTAGGGTGTTCTATGGAGTGTACTTGTTTATATGTATTTTGTTGTAATTATGTAGTGTAAGGACCACTGCCACTGGGTGCAAACCCAATTGCAGTAAATAAATCATAATTATAATAATTAAATATAATGAACCCAGCAGTAAGGAGTTATTTTCTGTGTAACTAGGTATGCAGAAATTGATGTATTGGATTTAAAATTACTTTTGTGTTTTGAAGTGTTTTTACCTGTGATCATTATATATTGTGTGACAGTGTTTGTTGCTTGATGACATTTGTTACCATTGTTCTCTTGTTACAGCCACGCATTGATCCACTTCAGTTGCTCAAGTGCTTGAGCGTGCTCTTAAGCCCTGCAGGTGGAATTAAAAGCAAGGAAGAAGTACAAAGGCTTGCAAGGTAGGACTGATATTGCTAACACATTAATACAGGCATCCTTCACTTACTCAGAAAGTTTTATATTATGCTCATCATCCTTAAAGAGCACATACAGTAGGCCAAAGGAAGAAATGATGGGGAGGTTGTCAAATTCCGCCTGAACTTTTATTTTTCCAGGGGGAACATAGCTTTAGTTTCACTCTTGTAGGCAAATCAGTGTTGGAATGGAAGTAGTGTTTTATAAGATATTGTAGATGCGTCATGCGTAGATGAGTGTTTTGTTTGCTCTAACAATGACCACTCCATCCAGCATGGTGGCTGGTGATGTGCCAAGTCCTGTTGCACAGTGTAGTATTGTCATCAGATTTTTGTGTAATGAATGTCATATGGCAGCTGATATTTATTGCTGCCTTCGATTACAGTTTTGGGAAATTGTTCTTCTGTGTTCCCATTGTGCCAATAATTCATAGATGGCTATGAACCTGTATCAAACATGCTGCCATCAGAGTGCTCTGCCACAGTATGCCTAAGGTCCTATTTGTGTTTGCTTTGTGTTAGAAAAAATGAATGCAGCCTGCTGCTGTGATCTCGAAATACAAACTTACACCCAAAGTCGGAGCCAAGTTACAGACAGCTGTCCAAAGGGGCCATTGTCCTCTACTGCAATGCCTGTCCACATTCTGTGCAAGCAGTACACACTGTTCTGTTCTTGCTGCCTCACCCTTATTTCAGTCCAGATTTATCTCCATGTGATCTTTGCCCTTTTGGACCATTGAAGGGGCATCTGGTAGGCCTGCAGTTCATTACCAGTCAAGAGAAGTTCAGAGTTTCATGTCTGTTTATGTTTATATACATCCAAGTGATTGTATAGTAATTTGAGGGAGTTACATAAAATATACTTGTATAGATTCTTCTCAGGAAGTTGGTTTCACATACTACTATCCTTTATACTACTACTTCTGCACAAATTAAAAGCAAATAAGGGTTGCCTGTCACCATTCATAACCATTTTTCCAGGAAATGTCAAATGAAACTTATAAATTAATAACATGGAATTATTTGTAGCTTATGTTATTTTTTTTTTTTTTTTGGGCTTTTTCCTGCTGTATACTTGGAGTGAGTTTCCACATACGTTGCTCAAAGCATGTGCTGGCCAATTAGGCGCTGCTCAGCAAAAGTCCTTTAAAGGAAATGGAGATGGGATTGAGAAATACTGTTTTGTAATAAATTATTTTTTGCTGTTTATTGCTGCTCTTTAGAGTAGTGTAATTCCGTTCAAAATTTGATTAAGGGTTAAGTTCTGTGGGTATACATAGTATGTTGCTTTATTCTCTACCAATCCTTTATCTTGCAATTTACTTTATCTTGTGAATTAGTCGACTTTTGTCACTTGCTACATGGTAACACTTCACAAGAAACAATGGTTTCCAACTTTCTTTCCTGACCTATAAGTGCATGAACAGAATTATTGTATACACTCGGACAGTACTGCATTAATCCAAAAATTCTTGTGTTCCACATGCCGCTGCTGCCATTATTTGTTACTAGTTTTCCATGATACGTAAAAATGTGATTTGGAAATACAATTTTTATAGAACCTATGGAAAATGGCTTTAGAACTGTTTGGCTCGGTGTAAGCACCCCCCCCCCCCCAAATTTATACTTAACACACAAGACCTTAACTCTTGCATGCAGTAATTATGTTCATTTTCTGTTCTGCTGTGAAGTTTGGTGTTACAATTATTTTGACAAATATTAATCCTGTACATTAGTCATTGGAATTAAAATTTAAAGAATGCTGCAACCATGATACTGAAATTTGGGAATGTAGAAGAATTTGGGCTCAGCTTGGGGGCTGTTGTAGTCATATACAAAATACTAATCAGATGTGTTCTGTGTTGTCCTGGAGCAAGATCTCTCCGTGTAGTATGTGCTTCAGATTTGAAGGCCTGTTCATTTGGTGGTCACAAAATTCCTGACTTGATTACCATGTAAGCCTTTGATGTGGGATTAATATCAGTGCTACTTAATATGAAGTCCATAATTAGGGATGTGGTTAGATATACAGAAAGCCCTCGATTTGCTCCGATTCAGAATAATGCCGATTTTGAAACCAGAAAGTCAAAAAGTGAAGAAAAAATATTCTATTATTTATAACGTTTTACAATGTGTCTCGTACTGCTTTTATACTGAATTGTAATTCTTACATCTCTGATTTTTAATAAAAATTATAAATACAGTCATCTCTGCAATTACGTATGTTTCATTAACGCGAATTTGCTCCAATGAGATCAATGAATCGGTAAAAGCTGTTTGTGAAATGCAAACATTTGCTTATGCAATTTCATTCCTGGCACTTTAAACTTTCATAGGACTAATTTAATCTCTGTGGAGATAACGGGGCTATTTTTACTATGCGATTTTCTATAGGTTGACATCTTACATGAATACAACTATCGCATAACAGCAGGAACCTTCAGTGCAGTATTTTCCAGGTACTGTTTTAGTGTGTGTGGTCACTAATATTCATGTGCAATTTGTGTTTTATTTCACTATTGGCCTTTTAAACAATTTCATAATAATGAGTCAATACAACTTGAACAAAAGTTGGATGTGGTTCATGTAATGAAAGAAACCAGAAAACGTGATGCTGTGCCACAGGAATCCAAGAATTTGCAGGAATATTCATAATTGAAGAAATAAAATCTATTTGTGCAAATGCTACTTCATTTCGCTCCTACTAGAATGTAAAAATAAGGTCAGAGATAATGAAAACAATGAAAAATTTGCTTTCAGCTTGGATAAAGAATTAGAATGAAAGAGAATTATGTGTAGATCTCACAACCATCAAGAAAAGACTCGAGCATTTATGATTCTAGCAAGAGTAATTATCCTCCCAAGAAAGTGAAAGACTATTTTAATGTCAGTGGTGGCTGGTTTTATTGATTCAAATGAGCATAGCTTCAATTTTGAAATGTTTAGCAGAAGATGATGTTGATGAGGTTGCTGCTTCTAAATTTTCTGGCTAATTCACGAAAATGTTGAGGAAGGATACTCTCTAAAACAATCAACTTTGGTCAGATAAATTAGCATATCCAAAGAAGTTGGTGCTCCCGGATTCAAAGCTGCCAAGGATTGAATCACTGTCTTTGTTGGGTGAAATCAAAATAGTGATTATGGGCTTGAACCCCTATCATTCAGAAAACCGTGAGGCGTATCTTTGTGTATTGGAGTCTTTTTGTACTTCTTTGGCCCTCTAGCAAAACAGGATAGATAACTTTGTACCATTCTGCAGTATTCTAGTAAGGAACTTTATAGATTGTTGGAGGCTTTCTGCAGAATAAAAAAATCTGGATTTTGAGATTCTCCTTGTTATCACTAAGTAACTGCTTGTGTGATGCAAGAGCACTTATGGACCCATCTGAAAACATTGCCTTTCTCCTAACTAACATACTTTCATCACTGCACTTGATGGATAGAGGTGTTAAACTAAATAATTTTAACAGTTTATTCATACTAAAATGACAAGTATTTATTGTAATACACGCAGGTGCAAAGTTTAAAGTTCTTTTGAAAGAAACTTTGGTACAATAAATTGCCACTTTCTGTGCAGCAAGAAGTTGACTTAATAGCGTTGATAAATTTCTTTATTGATTTTGCGCTGCACCAATTTATTATTCTGAAGTTCTGTAGTGTAAATCCAAATCAACAGGTCATTATTTACATAGGATTTTTTTTTGTGCCTACATTGTAGAATCAAAAACTAACCAATTTCTTGTATGCTCTGTGGATGTTAAACATGACGAAGCTAATTTGTGTGCAGGATGTTTTAATCATTGAGCACACATTCACTGTTGATAAAAGGAGGCTTATTGAGATAGTACACATGTAAATATATGAGTGGCACTGTTAAGTCATTCATTACATGCATTGTTAAAGTATATAGCAATAACTTGCTTGTTTGTACTACTTCAGCATTTATGTTAAACAAAAATTGTAGTTTAGTTTTACTTAATGTTCACGAACATACTAATGCTCTTGACCCTGCTGATCTTTGCTTGCATCATTTTGTACAGAATTTACAGTAGTGTATCATTTGGCTACTGTGTTCATTATGTTGAAAATTATCAGTGCAGAACTACGTAAAGTATTAAGTAATTATTCTAATTGAAGTGTAGTTTCAAAACTACCCATTTTACATAGTTTTTGGGCAAGACTTTTTGTGAAATTGTAACTAGTTAAAACATTTATTTTGTGTTAAGAATGTTACTTCACACTTTTGAAAAACTGAGGTAATTAAAATGTCATTTATTTTAATTGTTCGGTTTCAGCAACTCGCTGCAAAGACACATTCAGCAGTTTCTCAGTCCAGTGACTTAGCCATTTTTATCTTAGGGATGAATGAGAGAAAACCTGTAGGAATTTATGCCAAAAATAGTTGTTTTAATTTATTTTTTTACTTGCATAAGATTTGCAGTACTAAGATCTGTGTAATTTGTGTTATATAAAAGTTCAGTCTACAGTTTGTTACAAACACACAAATAGGTCATCTGTGAGCAGCCACATTAAAAAGCACATAAAACCAGCATGCATTCATGTTGGACTGAACTAGTTTAGAGATAGAACAGGGACTGGACTGAATGGGTTCTTAAAATATTGTTATTTTCACCATCATATAAAATGAGAGCTGTATTTTGGCATGCACGGTGTTTTAAATTAAGCAGAACTTAACAGTATAACAGGAACTTCAGTTTGCTGGAAAATGCAAGTATAGAACAGCTACCCAGTTTCATGAACTTCAAGATTAAGAATGTCATATAATGAAGTTAAATTCTAAAATTATATTTACTTGTTTATTTATTGAAGTATATTCTGCATATTACATAAAACTTTTGAAGTTAGGTTTTCTGACAAGGAAAAAGTTCTATTTAGGCAAAATGAATTTTGTGTGGAACACATTTGAAAAAATCTGTGCGTGGTGGTGCCATAAAAGTTTGTAGAACACCAGTGTTACTGAAATCTGAAAAAAAAATAAGGTAATCTTTCAGAAGTGTGGAGTTCAGTTTTTCTTTAAAAGTAACAGTGACCATGGAAAATATTTACAGATGTAGGCTATCTGCAAAATCACACATCATTATAAATCTTTAAAAAGTATTATGTAATGCTTTATACAGATATTTGGATAGATGATGCAGTTCAGTGCATTGCCAGACGCTTGTGAACACAGAAATGGCTTCTCGATCACATGAATGCAAAAAGGACAACTTGGGGTGGGGGAGTGTTAAGGTCATGGTTTGAATAATTGAAGCAGTACTCGTGGCCCATTTTGATATTCCTGTGTCTTGTGCATGGTGCTTAAGAAGCTTACAAGTCAAGTGTTTTAGCTGAGCTCCAATATCATACAACTTTTCTTCTGTTAATACTTGTTATTGGAAATCTGGTTTTCCTTGGTGTTAACGTGCTGATTGACATGGCTCTGAATATTGCTTTATAAATTGTACTGATTAGTAATACTATTTGTAATATGAATGTACTGTTATAGGTGTAAAATGTTAGAAATTGTATTAAAAACAGTGGACATTGTCTCTTGACACCTAAATGCTCCAGCAGTTTTTTCATGCTGAGTGCTGTTTAGATTTTATATGATTTCATTTTGAAATGCATGTTAACCTGCATTTGTTAGGTTGAACTCCTAATTGCTGACTCACAAACAGTATTTCTTCTTCTTTTTCCGGTTTAACAATGTTTGTACATTTTCCGGTACCCTTTACGGGTCCCCAACTTTTCAGTTGGCTTGATCTATGGACATTCGGTAGAACTCCTTGTACTTTTGAAGACTTGTAACAACTTGCCACGGTCATACCAGATGTCTTGCAGTTTGTATGCTCCAGAACAATTATTTTTTAAATGTGATAATATTCTTATTCCATCTATGTTCAGTGTGTTGTAGTCTGGAAATAACTTAATTTGTTAGATATGAGTCCTATTTTAGTTAGGAACATACATATTGTAGAAACTTGCATTTTGAACCTTGTGAATACCGAATTGGAAATTATCCCATACCAAGGTCTGATTGTTTGGAACATTAGACTGCGTGGTGCTAGTAGCAAGTACTTCAAGGAACATACATTATCACTAAAATGTTTACATGTTTTGGATGTAAAAGAACTTGAAATTTTAATTTCAAGTTGCAAGATTCATTTCTGATTCAAATTATCTCCTGGTCAATGTAATAGTGTTACCAAAGTTTATCTGCATGTGTCAGACATTTTTCAGTTCTTGAAGGTTTTCACTATAATATTTAAAATTCACCAAAATTTTAACACCATTTCTACATTAGTATCCAGTGTACATGCATAGAGAAAGTGTTTGCTTTACCCCATATTTCTTTCACCATAAGAGAGATGCCAAGGAATAGTTTACAGTTTGATGTAAGGGTGTCCAAGTCAACTTAGTTTGAAGCATAGCTACTGTGTCAGTTGAAATCATCTCTTCACTATGCAGTGGTATTCATCCTTAATTCACATGGAGACTGTGGTACATTTAATGCAAGAAATTCATTTTTGGGTCATTAATGAATCTGCATTGGACCTTCATTTACAGTTACATTTTCTGTTAAAAGAGTCAGCCTGTGGCTTAGGAAATTTGTCATCTGTATCATAATTTTTTTTATGCATTGGACATATAAGTTGGTTGATAAATGCTGCATCATCTTGCATAAATGGCGAGAATAATTTCCACAGCAGTTGGATTGACTTTGTTTTAAATCAGATGGGCCTCTGTCTGTTCCTGTCAGTAACTTAGAACCTATGGGCCAGTTTGCATGAAACTAGGAAACTTATGCCATTTTAGGTCTTTTCTGTCATCCATAATTTTGTTTTCTTCTGTGACTTTAAATCAGTATGGTTTTTAGGTTGCAGCACTATTACCATTACATGTTGGATTGTAATATTATAAGTTGAGTGACTATTTCATAGATTTTCTGTGAAGCTTGTTTTTCTGTTCAAATGTACCAACCTGATTACATGAGCCCTTGATGTTTTTCCAAGACATAGAATTCAGTCTTTGCTTGTCAGAAGCCCTTCCAATTTAACATTGCTTTCGCTGTTCCGTGTTTCAGTTAATATAATTACCTTATTTATTGTATGGTAAAAATGTGTATGAATGCCTAAGATGCTAAGAAGCAAGAAGTGGGAGAAACAGTACAGTATTTCAGTTTTTCTGTGTCAAAGTTATTAACTTTGAAGTTTGTTTAAACCATTAGATGTTAGTAAAACAGAGTCGTGATATAGTAAAGTGGCTTTTTTGAAAATGCCTGCTTACTTCAATGGTCTTTGTAGTTTCCTGAAGTTTGGCTTCAGGGTTGCTGCCTAAATATTGGTATGCATGTTCTTCCACCACCATCACTTCAGGCTCCTGATAGTATTCTTCAGTTATCACTGTTCCACCGGTTTGAGAGTCTTCTTCCAATTTGTTTGTTCAACTTACGGTATGATTTTCCACCCTCTGTAGTTCTGTGAACTGTAAGCTGTGGCATATAATTACAGTTGAAGTCCAAGTCATTTATTTTATTGTTTGAACGTTCTGTATTTTCTTTGTGACCATTGGATAACGCATTGCCATAATTTCTTAAAGTTTAGTGTGTAAGATGTGCAAACATCTGCTCACTTAAATGAAACCTTGATTACTTAATATCCGGTCAGGAAAGCTAGCAATGGCTGGGGGTTCGTCGTGCTGACCACACGTCACCCTATATCTGGTTGGATGATCGTTCACCTCTGCTTAGGCATGTGAACGTGAGACCAGCAGTCAGCTAGTCGGCTTTGGCTCTCTGGAGCTGTTACGCCACAGATTTAATTTTAATTTGATTACTTAATAACAATGTCATATTACTATTATTATGTCTTCAGAATTGGTAGAACTTTCAAAACATTGTGTTTCTGTAATTTTAAAATGTCTTAAATTTTTTATATATGAAGATTTTATGCATTTCTATTTTCTTTACAGCCTAATGACGAAGTTTTCGAAGAAACTTGTAAGCAAATGTATCTACATACAGATATTGAAAACAACAAAAACTGATCTCTTGGGCATGTAAGTACCAGAACTAATCAGTCAATTAGCATAAGTGAAAATCTCAAATTGTAACAATTTCATGTTGGTCATTTCCACAAATCTATCCATTTTGTATGTGTACATGCATGCACAAACACAAGAACAAAAACTGTATGCTTACACATCTTAGTCTGACAGTTCAACTGAGGGTGCTAGCCTGTGGAAATTCTGTATGTGCATACAAAATGTTTTCCATTATGTGGTATCTGCCATAGTATTCTTCCCAGGTGTCTTGTAGTGGTGATGCCGTTCACTAAAGTTCTTGGTCGGGCCTTGTATTTCTGATTAGACTTCAATGGATATGTCGTCCCTTTGTTCCTTTTGTGTGTCTGCAGCAGTCACATTTATTCAGTTTTGGAGCTTATTGTTTTAGACACCTTGATTTTACTCAAAATAGAGGTAAAATTGGTTAATGTAAATCATGCTTTTAGTAATATTAAGAATATTTTCAGGTTCATGGCTGCTGGAGGATGGAACCTGACGCACACTTGGTTGTCTGATGCTATAGTGGCCAAAAACTGGCCTCTTATACAGGAATTGTTAGAATTACTGTTGATGTGCCCAGTTGATGTGGAAAGGTTAAAGACAAACAATTGTCCTAAACTAATAAAAGGCCTTTCCAAGGAAAGCACCAATGAAAGTAAGTATCACACATGTAGGATGAATATTGTTCCTGTTACTAATAGTTTTCAATTTAATTTATAACATGCTGTAAACATAGGGAATACTTGATGTTAAATTGATATACTGTGCCTTAGAACTAGGTTTTAATTTGTAATGTGCATATTTATGCTATTTGCAGGTGTTAAGTTGCTCGCAAGTAAGTTGGTGGAACAGTGGTTAAAGATAGTAAAGGGAGAAACTGAGGCAGTAAGGGCCCATCAGATAGCTGGTGTGGAGAATAAAGCTATCGAAGTGGTTAGGACAGAAAACAAAACGCCTGAAGCAACATGTGTTAGTGTAACTGAGGATGTCAACCGAACAGAATTGTGTAGTGAGAGATTGCAGACTAACAGTTGTAGCGAGGAGTGTAAAGTAGATGTGACTCCACCACCAATTAAACAGGAAAGTGTAGTGCAAGTGAAAGCAGAAACCTTAGGTTCTGACATAGATGTTCACAAACTATTGATCAAGACTGAAGATGCATCAGATGACTCGGGTGAAGATGTTGCCTGGGATGCTCCACTTGGACAGTTGCCAGTATATAAAATCACAATTCGAGATGGAAAACGAGTATTAGCAAAAGTGTACTCAGGGGAAAAGGCGAACAGGAGGTTCAGTGTGGACAGTTGTTCGAGTGTGGCTTCATTTGCAGAAGAGGGAAAATCTGTAAAGATTAGTTCTGGTGTGATGAAGATAAATGATCCAGTTGCAGCTAAAAAGGAAGAGTTGAAAAAAGAAACGGAAGAGACACCTGTGAAAGTGAGTATAGAACCACAGAAAGTTCCCATGGTGAAATTGAAAGTAAAATCTGAAAAATTGGAAAACAATGTAGAAGGAACAAATTTAACTAAAGATATTCAGAAGAAACCTAAAGATGCTCAGTCAAGTAGTAAGATGTCTGATAAACTAAGAAGGACCAAAGTTGAATCTAGTAAGGAGAAGAGCAGAGAGAAGATACCTTCAAAAGACAGAAATAAAGAAAAATCAAAGGATAAAGAAAGCAACAAGGAAACTAGCAAAGTTAAGGATAAGAAACAGAGTAATGAGAAAATTTGTCTTAATTCTGAAAAGGACAGAGCTGCTATTGCAAAGCTGATTCCACCTGCAATAAGCAAATTGGGAAAAATACCAAAGAAACCCAGACCTGAAGAGCCTCAGAGTAGTGTGTCTGATATTAAAAAGCCCTCTTCTAGTGACATTAAAAAGCCTCCTGTTCCTGAATCAACCAGCCGAAAGCCTTCTATATCCATAGAATCAAGAAAACCTTCTGATTCCGCTCGCCCAAAGACTGTGAAGACTTTCAATTCCAAGTTCCGTTCTACAGGACTGGAGGAGGAAGCGAAGCCACCACCGTCACGACTGGTCAAGAAGACCACTACGCCTGTGGATAAGAAACCAGTCAAACTCCCATCCTTAAAACGTTCATCCCCTCCCAATGAGTTGTCAACACCCCCTGAAAAGAAGCTGAAGCCCATGATTGCTGACACAGGCACTGATGACGCAAAGAAGAGTGTGGGCATTAAGTTAATTCCTCCCAGACCAAAACGTAAGTATGGGTGCAATTGGTGGAGGGAAATAAATGTGGGGTGGGGTGTTATAGCATATTAGTAACTTTATATAAGTCAAAATTTTGGGGATATGAAGTTGGGAATCGGCCATTTTATATCGACATTTGTATGATTGGTGAATTTCAAATAGGTTGGGAGGGAGAGGTTGAAACAAAATCAGACAGATGAAGAAGTTAACTTGCATTACTTATAAGATATGTAATTAAATATTTACATATATAAAAATACTATTATTTTAAGGTTTACAATGTTGTGAGCAAATCATTGTTTCAGTTGTAATGTTTGTAGTGAGTTAATGAGAATCATAACTTCAAAATGGCGTCGTGTTTTTTATAATAAGGTACATAATTTCAGTGTACCATCTTAGAGAGATGATTTAGATCCGTGCAGAGATATAGTTGCACTGTTTTATGATAGTGACGATAATAATTTTATAAATTCGAGTAAGCAGAACAGTATTTTTCTCAATTGGTTGTTGTTTTACAGACAACTGATAATTAAATAGTGTGTAGACTTGTCTTGCAATATGAAATGTGACTTGCTTACAAGATTGTTACGAGTCATATTCTTAGGATATTTGTTAAATTGTTTCAATTTCAGTTTTCAGACCAGTGGGAGATGCTGCAGGTTACGCTGAAGTTGTTGGCAAACGAGCACCTCAGCTTCTTCTGTATTGTTTTGTGTAATTATTTTGTATAAACTGTGTCCCTTCACTAATATTCTTTCCCAGTCAGCAGTACAAATCCATAATGGAATCAGTTACTCCTTGAAGTACTTGGCTTCACTTAATGAAGAACCACTATGTCATATGCTAGGCTTGGTGGTTCTTTTTTTGAATGGGCACAAGTTATTTCAATAATTGGTTCAGAAGAAAGGTTTGAATGGTTGAATCAAGATACTGACTTCTGGTTGTAGTGACTCCATACAGGTATAGTATGTTGTATGTTTCTTATAGTTGGGCTTATGAACAATATTTACTGTTTTGTTTAGGTTAAAGGTGTTTTTTCTAATAGAATCAGTTTTTTCAGTTAGATGGTATGAGATAAGGGGATATTGGAGTGCCAGTATAAAAATTATTGCAGTTAAATGCATTTTCTTGCCTTGTTTCTTGTCTCCAAGCGTTTCTGTGTGGCCTCTCTTTTATTTATTTCTTTTATGTGATTATTCTCAATTTATCACTGGGCTGTATAAATATATCAACATGGTCCATTATTAGCTTTAGTAGATATATATATATATTCGTCTCTGGACTCGGTCTCTTGTCTGTGTGTAGATAGAAGTTTTCACTGTAATTGTGTATCACCAGAGTGCATGATTATCTTTAATTTTCACTGCTAACACCATATTGTTGTACATTTTGCTTCATGAAATTGCCAAAGCTGTGTATCCAGTGTAAAATCATATACTTTTGCTGTTTTTTTTTTATGTTTTGCTACCATACATGTTACCACCTGAAGTTGAACTTGGTATATTAGAGAAGATCATTAATATTACTTGTAATGGTTTTAGCAGCTTTACTTTCATTCTTTGTGTGTATGCATATTGGGATTTTAGCTACTGGTGACGGTCCTTTCTTTGTCTCCTTTTGTTTTTAACAAAGTTCTACATAAAGTAGTCCATCATTCTTCAAAAAGATTTCTACATATGTTTTAAAAAAAAATTAACCTTGAAGTTTATGGCTTGAATTATGTGATTTATTCTTTGTAACTTCAGAAGGCTAGTAACATTCCAACTGCTTACTGAAACCTCGGCTGTCTTGTGCAACTCGTTGAGTCGGTCTTTTTTTATCCCGAGTTCTGCTAAGATATGATTGTTAACGACACTTGTGAAAGAGGTACAGCTGCAATGTCAAGATTTTAGGTTAGATGGCATTATGTTTGGTGATCATTTGAATGGCATTATAATGCATCAGTCATTGAAGTGATGCTTAAAAAATTTACACAGCACAAACACTGCCATGATGTAGGAGGTCAATGTACCTCCAGCCAGTTACATTGGAAATACCAGTTGTGGAATGAATGTAATGGGGGGTATTAACTTGGCGAAGCTTAATCATGTTTAAATTGAGTTTCCAGTGTGAATGGTTAGCAGAGACAAAATACCAAACAGGAAATCACAAGGAGATACTGTTGTCAAGGATTGGCAATTCTGGTAAAAACCATTGAAGATGTTGCGGCGATTAGTGATACTTAATCGATTTGTGTATGGCGTTTTCAAGAACTCTTGAGGATGCTGACTTTCATGCTCAAGATTGTGTATGATTTTAGTTGACAAGAATGCCTTGCCATGTTTAATTGTCATTATGGAAGTATTAATCCTTTAGCATAAGTTATGGTTTACAATCCATAACTTTCCCACTTGAAGAAACATTGAGTGGACAGGTGGTTGGATGGTGAGCTGCAAGTGGATGTCGTGCTAGTACTGAGGTTGCCTGTTATATTACGTCCCTGCTTCAAGGAATAAAGTTAAGCCATTCCAGCTACTTCGGAGGTAAGAGAGGATTCTTGTACCAGATTCCATGTATCTGTGGTTATAACGAATAAATGCTTGGGTATCCCTGAGTTATGTCACACACTCCTTCAAGAAGTATATAAAGGTGGAAATACAGGCAAGCCTCCCATACATACCTCCATTATCCTGCCTTTCTTTTATGTGAAACAGTGGCACATACCAGTGCTCACATTGTTCAGAAAAACTAAGCAGAGCCGGGCATGGTGCGCAGTGTAAGTGTGTAAAACACTCGAGCTAAATATACTGGCACTGATTTGTGTTTCTGCTTCTTGCATATAGTATGTGATGTGTTTTGCCTGGTCAGAGACTACAGTAGCCTATTACTTATGTTCAGGCTCAAGTTACAATCAAAATTGCTGTGAATAATCACTGACAAGTGAACTTTTTACATGTTTTTGTAGTTTCCATTTTTATGCCTGGAAATATTTTGGAGTGTGCATGCTATGTTAAAAGCAATATGGGAAGTAGGTTTTGAAGAAAAAAAAATTTAGGTGGTAATGAAATACTTGCTTTGGTTAGGGTAATGGGTGAAGGAAGGTAAAAGATGAATATTTTCTCTCTGGACTTGAAAGAAATTTATATGAATTTAAGTGTGGAGTGCCATGTTCCTGGCTGACACCTTGTAAGCAGATTGCAGAAACATTTTTCAAGCTTTGCCCTTTTTCTTGTTCCACCTGTTCATACAAATCTTTCAGTAGTGTTTCAGTTTAATTTTAGATAAGGTAAAGGTAGAGAGCAGTGAATGTACAGAATATTGAATAATATAGGAGACTGCAGTGTTAGGCATTTGTAATGAAAGAAAGCATGATTAATTTTAAAGGAAAATGTAATTGCAATATATTGTGTAAAGTTTTCAAACAAACTGATAGTGTGGTTTCAGTGCCAGTCCATATATGAAACTTCTTACAAAGGATTATCCATGTAGTTTCTAGGATAAGGGAAAACTGCATGTTTATGAAATTTAGGCATGGACGTCCAAAAATTGGGTGCAGTTTGCTGCATTGGTTGCTTCCCATACCTGTAGTATGAAATAACTTATAGTCATCTTCAAGGTGGACCCAAAGGCCTGTTCTGTTAAAAAAAACGAATCTTAACTGGTCATTTGTGTTTCTGCAAGTTTATATATAAGTCATGACTCACGCTGCTTGGCATGGGTTCTTTAATGCATTGTTCGTTCCTTTTTATGGGGGGGGGGGCTGCTATCTCCCCTTATTGAATTATCCGTTATGTTATGAGTATCACTGTGCTGTCTGACGGTGGTAAATAATAGAACATAGGTCAGGTAGTATACGTCGTCATAGTAAATATGCAGTTCCAACAGCTTCCTGCAATGAAAGTGGGAGGTTTCGCTAATTTAATCATATTTGACAGGGTTTGTGCCATGTATGTAGGTTACGATGTCAGAACGCAGATGTAGACGGTAGCTGCGAATGTGTAGAGTAAAAGTGGACAACCGACAATA